GTTGGTGGCATTGGTGGTGGTGATGGTGGTAGTGGTAGTTGAGGTGGTGTTAGTGTTGGTAGTAGTGATGTTGGTGACGGTGGTGATGTGGTAGTGGTAGTGGTAGTGTATTAGTGGTGGTGGTGACAGTGGCAGCAGCGGTGTTGGTGGTGGTGGTTGCGGCAGTGATGGTGGTGGTGTTGGTGTTGGAGTTGGTGTTGGTGCTGGTGGTAGCAGGGACGGACGCAAGTGGATGCTTAGGGGGGCCTTGGCCCCCCTCCCCCATTCCAAAATTTTTTAATATTATATATGTATTAAATTTTTTTAAAAAATACTATATAGAATTTTAAAATTTTGTTGTTTTTTCAAAATATTTGCCCCCCCCCCCCCCCCCCCCCTCCACTTAATTAATCTTACAGGTTAAGTTATAAATTTCTTCATCTTCTCAACTTTTTCAGTTATTTCCTATTTCAAATTATGTATTCCCTATATTGTTGACTCACATTCAAATTAAACCTCATTTAACCTACGTACTAGTTTCTCTCTCTAGAACCATGCATATATGCGGCATATACGTTATAATAAGATAATTTGTCATTAAAAAATCTATGCATATTTTCAAGTAAATTTTTTGTTTTTTTATTTTTGTTTCTAACTACTTGTTTGGTTAATTTTTGTTTCATATTCTATTGTTTATCTTAAATAATTGTTTTGTTTGATTCTAAATCATGGATATCAAGGTGCATTTGTTTGGCTAATTATGTAAATTTGTGGTTGTGTGATAAATTTTGTATTTAATTTAAAATGCATAATAATGTAACAATTGTGTGGTATATGTATTTGATAAAACAATTGCTATTTTGTTATGTTGTGAAGAGTGTTTTTCAAGAAATAATCAATAGTCTTTTAAAACATGCGTGAATGTTTTCATTCTTTCAACCGTACAAAACATATTGCAAAATAATTTAATATGGATTCAATTATAAATGATTTATTCTAAACTTTATTGAATTTGTAATGTAATGATTATTTTGAGATATGTTAACAGGATATCAATGTATTTGATTTAGTACTTCAATCGTAGTTGGCCCCCGCACTATTCCGTCCTGGCTCCGTCCCTGGGTGGTAGTGATTGCGGCGGTGGTGATGTTGTAGTGATGGTGTTGGTGGTGGCCTGGTGGTAGTGGTAGCAGTGATGGTGGTGATGTGGTAGTGGTGGTAAAATAGTAATCAGGAAGCTAACTTAACAAAGAAGAGAGTGGAGAGAAGGAAAATAAAGAATCCAGAAAATATTTTCTAACTAAAAAACAAGACACTTTCCACCAAATTAGATATTTTTTCTATTGACCTGAAAGATTTTCCTTTGACTTCATTTTCCTTGAGTACCCAAACACTGAAAAATCTCAAAAATGACTTCTGAAAGTCACTTTTTGGATTTCCAAATGGACCCTAAGAAGAAAAATAATGGGTGAATTACATCGGGAGCCTCAAGTTCTAACGTTTAAAGCTTGTTTGGAAAACCAAAAAATGACTTTCAAAAGTTATTTTTTAAATTTGTCAATGTTTGGCTACCAAAAGAAAATGAAGTACATGTAAAATACTCATTTTGAATTTCTAATTAAAGGAAAAATTACCCATTTTGGCGAAAAATATCTTTCGAGATTTTTCGAATTCCTATTTCACACCAAGTACATTCTTCTCTCTATGTGATGTCATACAATCATTATTGTGTGGACCATATTTTGTATATTATAAAGTAATGTACATTCAGCACACGTATAATGTACATTTAGCACAAAAATAATGTACATTGTATTTAGGGGATGCACATTATATTGTATAATGTATATTTAGTACAAAAATAATGTACGTTTAGTATATTAAAATGTACTTTTTGTGATGGTCCACATAACACTGTGTGGATCATGGTGCACACAATAATTTGCGAATGTCAATCGTTATGCTATGGACCCGTGTCCAGCATGCATTGTGGACACGGTAACGGTGCCGTTAGTGACACCGTTATTTTTCAGTTGTTTTTTTAATTTCAGACCGCTTCGTTATAGGAGCATATGTTCATAATTTTATCACTATATGTTCATAATTGTAAGTTCATAATTTCATAGCTCTGTGTTCATAATTCCATAACTGTACATTCATACTTCTATAATTGTACATTCATAATTCCGTAACTGTACATTCATAATTCAATAACTGTAAATTCATAATTTTCGAAGCTCTCTATGTTCACAATTTTAGAGCTCTACGTTCATAATTTTATCACTATATGTTCATAATTGTAAGTTCATAATGTCAGAGTTCTGTTTTAATAATTCCACAATTCCATAATTGTACATTCATACTTCCATAACTGTACATTCATAATTCCGTAACTGTACATTCATAATTCAATAACTGTAAATTCATAATTTTCGAAGCTCTATGTTCACAATTTTAGAGCTCTATGTTCATAATTTTATCACTATATGTTCATAATTGTAAGTTCATAATGTCAGAGCTTTGTGTTCATAATTCCATAATTTCATAATTGTACATTCATAATTCCATAACTGTACATTCATAATTCCACAAACGAATAACGTCGATAACGTCGAGACAAAATTAATTTTTTTTTAAACTGAAATGCCGCGTTTTTCTAAAAATGACGTCGTTTTAGACTCGTGTCCACAATGCATTGTGAACACGAGTCCACAGCATAATTTGCGGGTGCAGACCAACCAATAAAAATCTTGAATTGGATCACAAAATTTGTTTCTTCAATTTCTTTAATTCAAAGTTTTTACATTTTATCAACGGTTGATTAAATATGGGTTACCAGGTCAACCCTAACAATAAAAATCTTAGCATGGCTCGACACGACCCTCAACTAATTTTATTTTTTTTAAGTTACAAGTTGTGTATTTATTTTTATAATAAGTTACAAGTTTTAAATTTATTTATTTACATATTTTTATTATAGTTATGTTAATCTTTATAACTACTATTATAAATTTTAATATAAATAAGGGAAAATGGTCAAATAGGCCCTCGAACTTTAGCTTAAAAGTCAATTAGGTCCCTAAACTTTTTAAAGGCACAATTACACACATCAACAATTCATTTAAGTGCAATGAAGCCCAAAAACAAATTAATGACCTGCTATCACAGGTCACTAGCGTTTAGGCTACCTTCCGGCGAATTTTACAGCAAAAAAAAAAAAAAAAAAAAAAAAAAAAGTGACCGGCGAAATTTTCGGCAAAAAAAAGTAACCGGCGAAATTTTTGACAAATCTGAGTTGGTTGCTAGTCACTTTTTTTTGCCGGAAAAATCGCCGAAAGGTGGCCTGAACCCTAATGACCTGTGATAGCAGGTCATTAACTTGTTTTTGGGTTTCATTGCACCTAAATGGATTGTTGATGGGTGTAATTGCACATTTAAAAAGTTTAGAGGCCTAATTGACTTTTAAGCTAAAGTTCAAGTGCCTATTTGACCATTTTCCCAATAAATAATAATAATTAGAGAAAAGTGCCAAATAAGTCCCTAAACATTTTTGCTAAAGGTCAATTAACCCCACAAATTTTAAAAAAGGTCAATTGAACACATGAACACATAATTTTGAGTCATTTAACCCCATTAACTGGTAATTTTTACCTGAAGAACCGGTAATTGACCATGTGACACCACGTCAGCTTTGTTTTATATTTTGAATTGCCACATAAGAATTTAAAAAAAAAACAAACAAATTAAAAGATAATTTAAAAGATACCTACAGCCCTAATTCTCACGTTGGACACAGACTCAACTTCTTCTTCGAAATCTTCTCTTCATCTTTCTTCAAAAATCTTATGCTTCTTCTTTCTTCTACGCCATCTGCTGCTTCTTCTTTCTTCTAAGCCATCTTCTGCTTAGGCTTCTACTTCGCATTTCACCTTTGGAGATGACATCATCATGTTGGAGTGGTTCACCATTTTCGTCTCCCTCAAAGGCGAGACCAAAATTTGGAATCTGCCATCAAGTAAAGGATCAGTTTGTATCAGTTTTGGAAGAAAGGCCTGTGACCTTGAGTGCACAACAGATGCTCGACAGAATGCCGAGCAAAGTAAGGAAGATGATGGACTTGCACCGATTCATACCTCCATGTTTGGTGATTTGGAAGAGGGGATGGCCCTCTTTGTAGATGAAGTAATTGGGGAGGCATCTATGGGCCTCCTTGAAGAAATAGCAGAGATAGTTATGAATGAGGAAAATGAATCAAGTATGGAACAAGATGAAGAGATAAATAAAACAAAAAATAGAGGCAGCTTAAACAAATGAGGTGTTGGCTGGTCAGACAATAAAATAAAAATAAATGCAGAGGCTTTATTAGAGGGTAATGAGCTCGAGAAACATACTGCTGCTGAGAATTGAGATCTTGAAACTGAGATAGTGGAAGTGGGGATAAGGGAATTGTCAATTGCCAATTGTAGTGGATATATAGTGGTGGTGATAGTAGTGGATATATAGTGGTGGTGATAGTAGTGGATATATAGTGGTGGTCTTGAGACTAGAGATGACCACGGTTCCGGTTTCGATTCTGGTTAAGGTTTGTAAAATCTTAGAACCGAAATCGACGGTTCCGGTTCTAAACCGAAAAAAATTAAATATTATAGTGTTTTTTTTAAATTTTTTTTAAATAATTCCGATTAGAACCGGAACCTTATTATAAGGTTCTGGTTCCGGTTTCGCCATCCACGGAACCGGAACCGGCAATTCCGAACCGAAACTGTGGTCACCCTTACTTGAGACTGAGATAGTACTTGCCATTGTCATCCCTAATAACATACTGCTCGTGAACAGTGCATCTTCAGGCAACTGCACTGTTCACACTTGCATTTTCTTTATATTTATTCTTGAATTTATTATATTGCTATCTATATATCTCATTTGCTGTAACTTAAAGATTTGATTTACATGTTACAATGAGATTTGCCTCACACCTTGAATTCATCACATAAATTTCGCAAGTAGAGAGATAATTGAACTTTTACTCTCTAAAACTATACTTATCATCATCTAAAAGTAGAGAGAATTTTTAACAATACAATTCACTTTCTTCATGAGAAACCCAACAAATCCATTTGCTTCACTACTTAGTCCATAGTTCTATATTTTTTATGTTTTGGGTCTACAAAATCAATCACTTATTCTACTCAACCACTCTCACAAAACCTCATTTTACTAATTCGGTGATTGAGAAACCGTTATAAGTTGCATCTTGCTGTCAGTAAACATGAAGGCGTAAAAGAATATCAAGAGGTTTTCTCAAGTCGATGCAAATTATAGTGTTGTTTTCTAAATGCCAAAATAGATGGGGGTGGAGAAAAACGCAGTTGTACTTATTTTCTTCTTCTTATCATCCATGGAGAGATGTTGAACCAAACTCTTACATAGGATGGCGACCACTACCAAGAAGCTGTCCAACTAGATTAGTCACCTGCAGAAAACATTTAGGGTTGCGTTTAGTTTCTGGAAAAAATTTCCAGTTTTCTGGAAAATGAAAAACAGAACAAAATTTGTGTTTTTAGCACTGGTTCCCATTTTTCCATCTGGAAAACTGTTTTTCCATTTTTTTCAATTTAACAAAGGATTTGAAAAACAGATTTGAGTTCTTGTTTTCTAAAGTTTTACAAATACAAAAACACAGAACTCTATCAATAATCGCTATTATTATTAGCTACGAACTTTCACATCACTTATTAATCTAGTCATATCATCTAACCAACTACCTATCTATATACCTCTACCATCACCTAACTACCCTATTACCACCCATATCTACTTATCCTCCTATCACCACCACTATATATCCACTACTATGACTACATATAATATTATTTTTTGTTTTTTACTCTACCCATGTTAATAGGGATGACAATTGGCAAGTAGTCATCTATTTAGTCATTTTCAAATGTGAATCCGAATACATTTAGAACTACCATAGTAAGAATGAATATTAGAAATACCCATTCTAAACCCGATTGACACTACACAGAGTCTATTATATACACACACACACACAATCGAGCATGGGGATTTCACTACTACCTAAACCCGTTTAAAACCCAACTATCAACTATTCAAACCAGTCATATTAGGGTTCTAGAGGTCAGGCACCCAATATTATTTTATTCGTTGTTCTCCATGGATAGTATTCCTATTGTCCAAATTAAAACTCGAAAAATAGCACTCAAAATTTTGAATATACAAAATAAAATTTAGATATAACCGACTCAATCCAATGCGCACACATAACTACACTACTCGAATTATTGTCAACTACCACTAGCATTATTTGTAGATTTAATTGAAGAAAATCAATCAATAAACACATAGGTTTAAATAACTTCGTATTTTCTCATTTCAAAAATAATATGGAAAATAAATGTTGATAAACACGTTTTTTGTTTTTCTATCAATTTTCTAATGGAAAAAAGAAAAATTAGAAACTATGGAAAAAGGGAACAAAAAAATGGAAAACAGAAAAAGCACTAAACAGAAATGCAGGCAGTCATGTGAGTAAATTATGCCATTGGTAGTGCAGTAACTAAAACTCCAAAGATCCATAAAAAATGTTTTAAGAAAAACACTCGAATGGTTAGAAAACTTAGAAATGTGGGTTCTAAGCATTTCAAAGCTGCCTTGAACTAGGAGACATAATTTTGTTCTTTGAACATTTTGAGACTCTTCTCTATCCTAGGAAACATATTGTGATGGTGCCTAATCACAAAGGCAAGAAACTCAGATTATAACACCATTATCCTACATGACATGTAATTTCATCAGATATTTGGTGAAAGTTTTCTATTAAGGGAATATGGAAATATCATTAAAGTGTATGATTATAACTAGATTGTGCCAACCAAAAAAAAAAAACGGAACTTAAGACACATTAAACATGTCACAAAAATATAATAAAATTAAAAAGAGTTAATACCATCCGATGTCCTCCGAGTATAGTGGTTTTGCCACGTTTAGTCCTAAACTTTCAAATTGACCATCTGTGGTCCTTCGACTTTCAAATTTAACCATCCGTGGTCCAAGTTAACCACCCATGGTCCTTCAACTATTAAATTTTAACCAACCATGATCCTTTTAAGAGGACCACAATTGGTTAAATTTCGAAACTTGAAGGACCATTGATCCTATGTAGGGTTAAATGCAAAGTGGAAAACTCACCTGCCAGTATTTAGAAACACAGCGGTCAATGCAACTATTTTCACCCATGTTCAACTCAGATTCCTTATACCTGAGAAGCAATTCAAGATCAGTTTCTCAAGCTATTCATGAAACAAAGTGATAAGGCTACAAGTAAAATGTATCAAAACAAACATACTTGTTCTCAATGCACTTTTTGAAACATGTATGGGTAAGCCTGAAGGAAACCAAAAGATGAATAAAAGGATTAGATAAATTCTATATCACAGTAGAAATTTCCCAATATGGAAAAAAATAAATAAATAAATAAATAAAAAATCTTAAGGTATCATGTGAAGCCATGGAAAAGCAGTGGATCTCCATATCATTGTTTTCCAATAGGAAAGGAGTGGAAGATCACATCACCCCTTGACTTCTGTTTTAAGTAATGTTCTAAACACATGACCATTTACCACAATTTAATAGAGTTTGTATGAGCTGGTGACTTCTGTTTTAAGTAATGTTCTAAACACATGACCATTTACCACAATTTAATAGAGTTTGTATGAGCTGTAAATTTAGAAAAAAGGAGTGAGAAGATCGTAGTATCAGTTTCAGTTCATTTGATTACAATGTTTTACTCCTGGTAGATGAAACTGATTGGTGCAAGCCACTGAACAGTGGGGTTTCAAAGTCCATAATGCTGCAAAATACTTACTTGTTAAACAATTCCACCCTGTACTCCATCTCTTTCTCTGCCATCCCAAATATCTGCACTCAATAAGAGGGGGAAAAAATCAGGAAAAACACACACACAGACAAATTGAAATTCTCCCCAAACAATCAAATTAATGAATGGGAAGCGTCATATATATCGATATCCACAAGCAGCTCAAAACCAAGCATTGATCACAATCACAGGCAGTATGTTACAGATACAAAATCGAAACAATACCTGATCTTTTTCCATGGCAGAAGGGGAATTAGTAGGTGCCATTATGTGTGGAGGTCTGGAGGAACAAAGAATGGTTCACCAAAGTGGCAAAAATGGAGTGTATACTTGTATCTTGGGAAGAGTGAATTGAGGTGGAAGAGTAAAACCCTAGAAAATAAACACAGAGCTTCTGAGAAAAGTTTTAGATGTAGCAAGGAGTATAGAATTAGTGGTCTTGAAAATAATAGCAAAATTGCTTAAATCACTGTATTGAATTGTTCAACAAATGTTGATTTATTTTAATATATGGTTATCTTATTAGTTAGAAACAGTTACCATATTATTTGCAAACATCATTATGTTACTTTGAGAACTCTAACTTAACACACAAAAATTAAACAAATTAATAACACAGAGAAAGCCCAAAGGATAAATAAAGTGTAACCTAAAATATAAAGCCAAAGTCTGAAAGGTTTACGTAGAATTATAGCTGTTTAAAAAAAAAAAAAAAAAGTAGAATTATAGCTCTTAGCACAGTATACACGCCAACTACTAGGCACAAATACAAAACAAATAAAACATGCACATAAATCAACAGACATAAAATAAAGTTAATCTATACACTTAAAAGAAAACACAGCTAATGTAGACATACCTGTTTTAGATTTTATGAACTGTTTAGTACCAAGTTCCTTGATATTTTACTTCAGTAGTTCTGAAAATAAAACACTAAAAGCTATAATTCTGGATAATTTACATCAATTGTGCTGTAATTAAGGATAAAAACTTACAGTAACAATAAATATTTAATTCTTTTGGGTGCTATTTTATTAAGGTGTGCTATCATTAAGACTGGACCAAATACTCCCATTCCATGATACGAATAAAATTCACAGGAGAAGACTTATCATTACATCGAAATTCCTGCGTTATTTCCTCCTGGCATCTAGAGCTCCAGATACAAAGTCTTCTACCTACATGTTTTTAGACATGGCAACACAGGAATTGAGATATAAATTCTTAGTTTATCTTTAAGGTTAGTTTAAGAGATTTATATACGTAGTCCATATTATACTTACAAAATTACATTTAATGGTAGTGTGGCACATGAAAATGGTAAAATTTCATGAAAACCTAAATGCAGACAGTGAAATGGATGTAGACACAGATTATATTGCAGTAATTAGAACTAGAAATAAACATACATTTGTGGCAGGAAATCAAGAAATCACACAACAAGGAAGATGAAACTTAGCTTAACATCTATATAGGTGACCAGACTTTAGAGAAGAATAAACCGAACAGAAGAAATTTAGCTTAACATATTTGTGGCAGAAATAATTTTCGAAAGACTAAAAGCGTCACTTTATGCATATATTAGGAGTTAAAAGATGATCAAGTACATAACTTAGGGACTAAGTGTGTACCGAGAGACGATGAGACCGGCGAGGGATGAGAAGCGGAGACGCCGAGGGAAGAAAAGCGGGGATGCCGAGGGAGGAGAAAAGGAGAAAGCGAGGGCAGAGAAGCGGTGATGCTGAGTCTGCGACTTGCGAGACAGACGATTCGAGAAGTGAGTGTGCGACAGGTGAGGCGCCCGAGAAAATGGGTAGGTTAGGTTGTATTTTTTACTAGTAATTTACCCGCGCGCGATGCACGGAAAAAAATTATGTTATTATAAATATAAATAAAAAATAGAAAAACTAAAATATTATAAATTATTTAAAATAATAATATTTTTGAATTTCCATTGGTCAAATATTTATTATTTTTATAGAATATAAAATTACAATTAAAATTATAATTATAATTATAATTATAATTTTGTATGATTAATATAATCTTTTTATAGAATACAAAATTACAATTATAATTATAATTATAATTATAATTATAATTTTGTATGATTAATATAATCTCTAATTATGTGCATATTCAAATAAACTTATAGAGAGAATTTACATAATTACATTAATTTATTCTTAATTGTATTTCATCTATATTATAATTTTCACAATACGAATAATAATTAAGATAATTACATTTAGAAAGCAAATTTCAAATTTTGTATGTGTAAATTTAAACTCTAATTGAACTCATCTTTTATATGATTATATAATATATAGCTATTTTATTTTTCAAAAGTATATTTTGTATATGATTATATAATATATAGCTATTTCATTTTTTAAATGTTGTGCTTTTTTTTTATATAATAAAAGATGTTGTGGCATTAATTGTAACATTAATTATTTCCCAAACCATATAGCTTTATTATATAAAGGATTTGTTTTTAGAATAATAGGATAGGATAGGATAAAAAGTACTTTGTATTAGTTTGAGTTAATGTCACATGAAGTCCTCTGAGTATAGTAATTTTGTCACGTTTAATCTTAAATGTTCACATTGACCATCTGTAATCATTCGACTTTCAAATTTAGTCATTCGTAGTCCGAATTAACCACCCATGGTCCTTCAACTTTCAAAACATAATCAGCTGTGGTCCTCTTGAAAGGACCATGGTTGGTTAAAATTTAATAGTTGAAGGAACATGAGTGGTTAACTTGAACCACGAATGGTTAAATTTGAAAGTCGAAGGACCACGAATGGTTAATTTGAAAGTTTAGGACTAAACATGGCAAAACCACTATACTTGGAGGATCTTTGATGGTATTAACTCGTATTAGTTTATATTTAATTTAGATTAACTATTGTTAAGTAATAATGTGTTTAAATTATTTTTGAAAGATTTTAAAAGTTTAAAATTTATATTTATTTAAATCAAGTTTAAATGTATATTAATATATAATTTAATTATTTGTATTACGTTATAATAGTTTGATTTTATTTAAATTTATTATTATTTATTGTTCATAGGGATGTGCACATTTTGGTTAATTACATAACATATGTACACTTGAGATTTAATAAGACTAAGAATTTTTAATTTCACAACATAATAATAATATTTATAATTTTAAATTTTTGGTGAAACTATATATTTTTTAAACATTACTCAAAATGTATCAAAGAAATTTTTAATAATGTTTAGTTTTGTTATTTGCGAAATGCAAACAAATTATATTTTACTTATTTAATCTATGTTCAACCTTTTATTTACTATATGTTTGACATATAAATGTGTTATAATTGCACCATAACGACATAGCCGTGCATCGCACGGGAAACAAATTGTTTGGGACTTTTCTGGCAAACTGTCATGGTATAATCTGCAACTTAACCTTAAAAAGTTTTGTATGTAACATGGTAGAATATGCAAATTAACGTGACATTATAGTACATCATAGAACTAAGCAATGGTATGAACACTTACTACTTAGAGTCAACTTAAATTGGCACAAATCAATTAAGTAAAACTAATTGCATCCCAAGAATTTAACTTCAAACTTATATAAGTAAAAACAGTCAGGAATAAGGAACTCAACTTATAGATCTTAGAAGTTAATTTTCCAAATTGAGTATGCTGTGAATTAATGAATTTTAGAAAACTGAAGTTAAATATATATATATATATATATATATATATATATATATATATATATATATATTAACAAAAATATATACATTAAATGTAAAATATTTTTAATTTATAGCTAACTATAGTGCTTACATGTTTTATATAATATGAACTTTTTAACTATAAGGATTTTTAATTACATGTAATTAAATTTATTTTCTTTGTATTTGTAGAGAATGAAATTTTGGTGCAATAAGATATTACAAAACCATTTTAATGAGATGATTTAACATTCAATCAAAACAAGTACACATTTATTGGACTGTTTCAAACGTCACTCTCGACCCCATTGAATACAGTCTCTAATGGTTAGTATTTGTATTGAATTAAGAGGATACTTTTTAATATATGATAGATACATTATTGACATACACTTATTTTTTGGTTGGTGGGTTTTGCCCCGGAATGGGTATGAAAGTGATTGTTGTTATTTTGTTGATAGGTTTTTAAAACACTACTATAGGTATCGAATACCCCATCAATTGAAAAACTCATACCCAAATAAAATAAGGGTTTCATTCTCAAGCACTACTATTAGTATTTAGTAACCATTCACATTCCACCCTACTACCAAACATGTTAAATACTTTCACCAAAACCCATTACCATTACAAAGTATTTGATACTCATTCCGATTCTGATTCCTATGTGCGAACCAAACGATCAGTCCTAGGCATGTTATTCCCATGACAAAATGATCTAACCAAACGATGGAATAGGTCTATTCCAAGGAATGTTATTCCATTCCTAACCTATTCCATGAACCAAACATGTCATTATGGTGCAATATGTGTGGTTGAACTTCCTAATCTCATGGTGACATTTTACTATAAATTGGGATCCATGTAATAAGAAAATGAAGTTTCCAAAACAGGAAAAAAACAATACGAATTTGGAAGGTGCTACAAAGGATTATTTGGAAGGCGCTGTCAGGAAACTTCAAAATAGGGAAATATTGGTGTACTATCTGGAGAAGTCAGCTCCACTTTATATTAGTACAAGCTGTGTTAAAATTCAGGTTGGTTACAGTTTGTTTAATTGGTAGAATTAGTTCAAACTGTATGGTATACTTTTTCATAGAGTTGTTTTACGAGGTTAATGTTTAAATAGGTGGTAGACCTAGTTTTGTAATTCATTGAACCTGTAATTGTAAAAACCGTGGGTTGATCTTGAGTGAAAAAGTTTTGGGTGTGGCTTCACAGATTAAGAGGTGTTCTCTAACTGCGTAAAAAATTCAGCTGTGTACTTATTTTGGCGCTTCATTTATTTTTACATATTGTGATACATATCTGCATTATATATTTTCAATGACAAGTCTACCTAATGGAGAATTTAAGATTGCAAAGTATTACTAATGAAGAGGAGGTTGAGAAATAGATAGTTTTGCCAAGTGGATTGTAGATTTAGGTGATGGAACAATTTGATGCGTAGTATATTTGCAAACAAATAATACTCGGAGTACGAGTTATCGATCCACAGGGAAGTGGTTGTATCAAGCACTAGTTACTAATTTATTCATTAGAGCTAATCCTAACAATTGTTTTGATGATTAATTTGCATAAAATAAATAAAATAAAGCAGAAATTCAGGATTTTGAAAACAATTAGAGAGAATATGAGATTCTTGGGATTCAAGTATTTAATCACCTAGTGTCAAATTTTAAGGACAATATTAAAATCTGGGTTTAACAAGTGTGAGGATGGAAGGTGGTATAGAACTACTCTCGTAGTCACTAACACTAGTGAATTTCCACTCTCGTGGCATAAACACCCAATAAAACAAGATCAAGCATCATAAATTCTTAACTAATACCATCTCTCGATGCGCAATAATCAAGAATTAAATCCCCCTAATAAATTACACTTTCTCAAGGTGCAATAATTATGTGCAATTGTGTGTGCCCAAAGTTATGCCAAACTTTCGACTACATCTAGCCACACAACACCATGTTCTGTATTTAAGCACGTTTCTTTGCAAATTTCCATGATTCCGAACCCCAGAAGAACCCTAGTTGTTTCCTTTCATTTCTCGATATGTTTCTAGCATTTACTTTCAAGCTTAAGCCAACCAAACCTAATATTAAAAAGAAAAAAAGTTCATTAATTAAAAAGGGTAAAAATATTTTTTCCACTGCATACTTTGTTAAAAAAATCATCAATGTTACTTTGTGTTCAAGTTTATTTGAAATCATGATTTTTCAAAAAGTAACAGTTTTAAAATTCCACAAAGTCTAAATATTCACACCTGACACCTCCCTCTCCAGGCCTCTAGATTTGTACCCAAACCACTTGGGACCAACACTTAACTTGAGTCCTATTTCCTTGTTTTGAGTTTACCTCTTATTTATGTGTTTGTTCTATCTTAATTGCTTGTTATTGCTTATCTTCTTGTTAATTTTTTAAGGCTAGTGACTAGTTACTTATTATTGCATATTACGTGTCATAACTCTCAATTTAGTGAGGATGACATTGTACACTCGTACACTTTTGGAATAGCTTCTTTTTATAGTAACTTTTAATCAACCAGATTTGATCCATAAAGATAGCATCCATAATCTTCAACAAACCACATCCAAACATTCTATTTTGAACTTCCCTTACTGTATGCTTTGCTGACTTTCTCTTCTTAAATTTTCAATAAATGATAGTCACTTAAAATAATCTTATAAGATAGGAAATGGTCCAAATAGAGTTAAACTAATCTTAAATCTAATTAAATTGAAACTAAATAAATTAGCCAACCAAGGTTTTAATGTGTACTAAACTTGTACACTTACAGGACTAGAATGTGGGCCATGTGGCTGTGAGATATACCTCTCGAGAACGGAATGGTGCTGCAGATTGGATGGCAAAAGAGGCCCCAAGGAGGAAGGTCAAGTGGATTAAATTCGGAGACCAACCAAGAGTTGTCTGTGATATCCTGAGCATTAATAGTGTTTATGACACTACTACTAGTAGAGATTAGCTAGTTGGGTACCACCCCCTTCTCCCAAAATTCTTAACCTTTGGTTAT